CAAGTGTCCTCACCGCATCACAACCAGTCCCCCTCCCCCCATACACAACGCACATGGATGACCACACCTCACCCGGTGAGTAAGTGAGGTATGGTTGTCCGTGTGTTTTGTGTGTGGGGAGTGAGCCACTCGGCAGGACGACTGACATTGGACATTGGGCAACGCAGCGAGCACATCACCCATCCCGGACCCCTCTCCATCCCTCACAGCTCAAGCTCACCCTCTGCGCTTCATTCCTCGCCTCTGCCTTGTACACCTCCAGCTCCCCCAACCTCGAGCTCACCTCTCCCTTTTCTCTCTCCCTCGTCGGCACAAGAGTTACAAGGGAACGACCGCCGGAGAGAGGATTAGGTTAGGGGCGAGGCGGAGATGGAACGGCCAATTCATCGGTGGGGGGGAGTGGGGTGGTCTCTAGCTGGGAGCGCCGAGGTGGGATTCCTGGTTGCGTGAGAAGGATGAGCCCTGGGGGGAGTTTGTGGGACCACATTGCGAGAACAAAGCGAGGAATGGATGCGTTTTTTGTGTTTGGCAACGTTCCACAAAAAAGTCTTCCCCGCAGGCGGACTCCTCCACGCGTAGAGAGGGAGAGAGCCAAGACTGACATTCCTTCCTCGTGGCGGGGAGGCGACGTGTGGCCCCCGAAACGTCGGACACTTTTGCAGAAGTGAAGGTACAGGACGAGCGATTGTGAAGCGACGATGTTGAGGACCGCTGACATGCGAGCTGTCTGACAACTCATTCATCCTCTCTGTACAAACGTAGAATGGTAGGCCACGTGGCCCGAAACGTCGAATAGTGACCAGCAGTATATATGTAAAAAAAAAACTAAGAACATTTTGAGCGATGCTGGCAAGACGCCGATATTCAGGGCCTAACCGACAACCGACCTAATTTTCTGTCTGTGCGGTTGTCCCAATGGCTCCGCGTCAGGGCTACTCGCGCGAAACGTTGAACAGTAAACACTTGGGGAAAACAACCCCAGCAAGCGGACGAGAGCTGAGGATATCGCGGGCAACGCTGGCAGGGGTGGGGACGCTGGCTTCAGGATGGATGGATGGCATCGAAGCCGACACACTCCTCCTGCTTTCTCTCCGCCGTACAATCGGATCGCGTTGCGCGCCACTGATGCACGCTCAACCGCACTATTTATCGAGCGCGGCGCTAATATAGCCCCGGCTAAACTTTTCCAGTATCGATGTCCCCCCACCCCCACCCTCCCCCCCAATTTAGACTTCTCCTGTTGCCCAGGTGACCCACCTCTAAACTGGTTCTGTCACCGTAACGAGCGACTTGCCCGGACTGTGTGAGTGTGTGTGTATGAGTCGACTCTCTAGCTATTGACTCACTGCATGTCTATAAGGCGGGGAGCGGTAGCGTAGCGGTTAGCGCTACGCTGCGCTACGAAACCGGCGACCCGGGTTCGATTCCCGCTCACAGCCAACACCGGTGACAATTAATCTGAACAGGTCCTGGGCCTCCCCTAGGTCGACTCAGCCTCAAATGAGTATCTGGTCCGGTGTGTAAACATCGTCAGTGGGGAGACAAAGGCGGCCGGGCGTGGTGTTGGACATCCACCCTCGCGTGTGCCGTGCCGGGCTTCATAGGTGCTACTCGCTCACAGCACTTGCCCCAACAGTCTGTTTAGGCTATACGGGGGATTTTTGTCTTTGTATGCGTGTCGAATCGGTCTCACATGAGTACCTGGTGTGGTGTTTAAACATCGCTATGAGGGAGACAAAGGCGGCCGGGCGTGCTACTAGCCCAGCCACCCCGACGTGTGCCGACCCGACCTTCATAGACGCTGGCTAAACAGCACTTGCCCCAACATTCTGTTAAGCATATACGGGGGATCTTTGTCTGTTGTGTATACATATGTGTGTGTGTGTGTGCCCGTGCGTGGAGCTAGCCACACCAACTCCCCCACCTCTCGCTTGCCGTGTTGGCCTTCATAGACGCTGGCTAAACAGCACTTTCCCCAACATTATGTTAAGGCTATACGGGGGGTCTTTGTATTTGTGTGTGCTACTGTAAATGCCACGGCCGCAGTGCAACGTGACGGCCGTGGGAGAGAGAGAGAGAGGGAAGAGACGAAGGGCACGGTGCGAGCGAGACTGACTGCCACCCTTCGCACCTCCGGCGAGCCCTCCTCCTCCGTCTCCTCACGCCTTTCTCACGTCCGCCTCCGGCTGAAGGCCCTTGATGACAGATGACGTCCGATACACCTCACGTGCTGCCGCCTCGTGTTATTCGAATGACGTCCCAAACACCACCCGAGTCGTCCTTCGCCTGACATTCTACACCTGATGCCCCTCCATCAGACGTCCTACTGATGTCACCAACCTGACATTCTACACCTGATGCCCCTCCACCAGACGTCCAACCGATGTCACCCACCTGACATTCTACACCTGATGCCCCTCCACCAGACGTCCTACCGATGTCACCCACCTGACATTCTACACCTGATGCCCCTCCACCAGACGTCCTACTGATGTCACTCCACCAGACGTCCTACTGATGTCACCCACCTGACATTTTACACCTGATGCCCCTCCACCAGACGTCCTACTGATGTCACCCACCTCACATTCTACACCCGATGCCACTCCACCAGACGTCCTACTGATGTCACCCACCTCACATTCTACACCTGATGCCACTCCACCAGACGTCCTACTGATGTCACCCACCTCACATTCTACACCCGATGCCACTCCACCAGACGTCCTACTGATGTCACCCACCTCACATTCTACACCCGATGCCACTCCACCAGACGTCCTACTGATGTCACCCACCTGACATTCTACACCTGATGCCCCTCCACCAGACGTCCTACTGATGTCACCCACCTCACATTCTACACCTGATGCCACTCTACCAGACGTCCTACTGATGCCACCCACCTCACATTCTACACCTGATGCTGTCCACCAGACGTTCTACTGATGTCACCCACCTGACATTCTACACCTGATGCCACTCCACCAGACGTCCTACTGATGTCACCTACCTGACATTCTACACCTGATGCCCCTCCACCAGACGTCCTACTGATGTCACCCACCTCACATTCTACACCTGATGCCACTCTACCAGACGTCCTACTGATGTCACCCACCTGACATTCTACACCTGATGCCCCTCCACCAGACGTCCTACTGATGTCACCCACCTGACATTCTACACCTGATGCCCCTCCACCAGACGTCCTACTGATGTCACCCACCTGACATTCTACACCTGATGCCCCTCCACCAGACGTCCTACTGATGTCACCCACTTGAGATTCTACACCTGATGCCACTCCACCAGACGTCCTACTGATGTCACCCACCTCACATTCTACACCCGATGCTGTCCACCAGACGTCCTACTGATGTCACCCACCTCACATTCTACAGCTGACGACCCCCACCTGATGACCCAGTCAGCCGAGACCGTTCAACCGACGTCCTCCGCACGAAGTCCTCCACCGCTCGTCGGACAGCCGACGCCCTCTCCACACTGGGAAAACCTTCACCGCACACGCGCGTTCCGTCGGCGAACCCCGCCTGATGTCCTCATACGCGCGGCACCGCGGATCTGCGACCCTCCACCACGTCGCCGCCTCCTCTTCCTCCTCCTCTATCTGCTCCCCTCCAAATGAAGTCATTCACCTACGCATCTACACGAGACGCGCTCCGCCCGATATCCTGCACCTGCCTTCATCCACCCGATCTCACTCCCTTCACCTCGAACACGAAGGCGTCGAACCTCTCCGACACAAGCACCACGCCACCACCCGGCATCACGCCGCACCTCCGATTAGCACGGGTTTGGCTACGCACGGTGCGAAAGGAGTCCTACGTACAGCACCCTACGGAACAGGTGTTCAACCGAGGCTTCTTGACAATGTGGGGGGGGGGGGGGGGGGCGGTGGACGCAGGTAAGAGAAGGGGGGTGTCCTTTATTTCAATCAGGTGAGAGTCGAATGACAGACCCGGGTCGTCATCTGTCGCGTGAGACGTGGGGTACAAAGGCGGATTTCACGCCGAGACCACACAGCGCTGGACGCGTCCTGCGCTTTCGACCGCTGTGGTATCACAACGCTCGAGTCGGCGACCACCCCAGCCTGGGTTCGACTCCCCCCCCCCCACCTCAAATGCGTGGTGGGGTCGTTTCCTTGTACCAAAGGGGTGCTTCCCTCCCGTCCACACGAAGCAAAACTGTGAAGCCACCCGGCCAAAGCGTTCACCGATTAAGGGGCAATGAATAGAATCGGTCAAATATAGCCCAGGATCCTCCTGACAAGCACTGCCGAGACTCCGCGAGGCTCTCCTGGGTATGTATATATAGACAGAACGTTATTAGCACGTGCATTGGTGTTGCTGTAATTAACTGAAAGTCGTTGCGCGATTTTCAAACCCGTGCACCGAACGCGCCGCCGCCCCACAGTCGCAGGGTCAAGGTTAGACTCCGGCTCCGACGCGCAGACACCGCGGCTCGCTCGGGCTTAACCAGACGGGAGAGCCAAGCGCGCACCAAACCACCGACCCCCCTGCGGCCACGATGGACCACGGTAGGGCTTTGGAAGTTGGGGGGGGGTCCGGGTCCAATCCCACTGATGAGTGACCGCGCACCCCTCTCGGCTCCGCGGGGTACACACGGAGCCAAGCTGCCGACCCCATCCTCAACGAGTCTGCTCCTTCCTGCTGCTGCTGCTGCCTCGCGCCATTGTTTAGCACGTTGAGAGAGGCGAAGCAGGGGGCCGGGGCAAGTGCTCCCAGGGTGGGTAGGGACAGCCAACTAGAGCGGGGTACCCCGATCGAGCGAAGGAGGGTAGAAGAGGGGTGTGGAGTGGTGGGGGGTAGTCCTCGCTCGGGGGTGAGGAGGAGAGAGAGGGGAGGGGGGGTCCCACTGCGCTCAAAACCGGCACGACGGAATCGCAGTGCGGAGTGGCTCTCACTCGCGCACTCACCAATCGCTCTCTCTCTCTCTCTCCCGTTCTCGCCACTCACCTTACCGTCGTATCACCCGCCCGTTCGACGCTCCGACATATCTTCACGATCCACAACCACGTCGCGCGCGGAGCCGGCACTCCCGAGATATTATTTATTAATCCGCAACGGAATCTTGGGCTGGACGCGCGGGTGTGCGCGCGGCTGCGCGCGCGAGTTCGCTGGCTCGCGAGAGAGAGAAAGAAAGAGACGCACACTGAGAGGGAGGTCGAGCGGGCAGCCTCACGCTCGGCTCGCCTCTGTCGATCTGTGCAGAGAGCCGAGCGCTGCAGCTGCGAGCGGGGAATGTGGGAGGTGTGTACACGCCTAGTCCCCTCCCCGTCTCCCCTCCTCCTCCTCCTCTCCCCCATTAACCTCCTCCTCTCCCCCGCACTGGCTCCCTCCCACTCTTTGCCTCACCCCCCACATGACACCCCTCCCCGCAACACACAGACTGGCTGCCCTCTCCCTCCGCACGCTCTCTCCTCCCGGCATCCCTCTCCCCCACTGACTCGTCCCCCTCTCTCCGACTCTACCCCGCATCGCGCCGGCTCCCTCTCTCCCACTCCCCGACGCCACTCACCGCCCGGAGAGGCGGGCTGGCTCCTTTACTGGAGCGGACGGCAGCTGGCCACATCGACTGATTTCTCCCCCTGCCTCCCAGAAATCCGTGGCTCTCTGCTCCCCGTGGCTTACTGTTCCACGTGGCTCTCTGTACCCCGTGGCTCCCAGAAATGTGTGGCTCTCTGCACCCCGTGGCTCCCAGCTATGCGTGGCTCTCTGTACCCCGTGGCTCCCAGCTATGCGAGGCTCTCTGTACCCCGAGGCTCCCAGCTATGAGTGGCTCTCTGCACCTCGTGACTCCCAGCTATGCGTGGCTCTCTGTACCCCGTGGCTCCCAGCTATGCGTGGCTCTCTGTACCCCGAGGCTCCCAGCTATGCGTGGCTCTCTGTACCCCGTGGCTCCCAGCTATGCGAGGCTCTCTGTACCCCGAGGCTCCCAGCTATGAGTGGCTCTCTGCACCTCGTGTCTCCCAGCTATGCGTGGCTCTCTGTACCCCGTGGCTCCCAGCTATGCGTGGCTCTCTGTACCCCGTGGCTCCCAGCTATGCGCGGCTCTCTGTGCCCCGTGGCTCCCAGCTATGCGTGGCTCTCTGTACCCCGTGGCTCCCAGCTATGTGAGGCTCTCTGTACCCCGTGGCTCCCAGCTATGCGTGGCTCTCTGTACCCCGTGGCTCCCAGCTATGCGTGGCTCTCTGTACCCCGTGGCTCCCAGCTATGCGTGGCTCTCTGTACCCCGTGGCTCCCAGCTATGTGAGGCTCTCTGCACCCCGTGGCTCCCAGGTATGCGTGGCTCTCTGCTGCCCGTGGCTCCCAGCTATGAGTGGCTCTCTGCTGCCCGTGGCTCCCAGCTATGCGTGGCTCTCTGCTGCCCGTGGCTCCCAGATATGTGTGGCTCTCTGCTGCCCGTGGCTCCCAACTATGTGTGGCTCTCTGTACCCCGTGGCTCCCAGAAATGTGTGGCTCTGTACCCCGTGGCTCCCAGCTATGCGTGGCTCTCTGTACCCCGTGGCTCCCAGCTATGTGTGGCTCTCTGCTGCCCGTGGCTCCCAGCTATGTGTGGCTCTCTGTACCCCGTGGCTCCCAGAAATGTGTGGCTCTGTACCCCGTGGCTCCCAGCTATTCGTGGCTCTCTGTACCCCGTGGCTCCCAGCTATGTGTGGCTCTCTGCTGCCCGTGGCTCCCAGCTATGTGTGGCTCTCTGTACCCCGTGGCTCCCAGCTATGTGTGGCTCTCTGTACCCCGTGGCTCCCAGAAATGTGTGGCTCTCTGTACCCCGTGGCTCCCAGCTATGCGTGGCTCTTTGCTCCCCGTGGCTCCCAGCTATGTGAGGCTCTCTGTACCCCCGTGTCTCTACGCACCCCGTGCCACCCCTCCCAACTCCCACGGCGAGCCATCACTGTTTTTATTTCACCGCATCCCTAGCATTTATTTGGATCTCTCCGCCCTGAAGAAGGTACATTGCCCGAAACGTCTGCACACGATGTATATTATTTACATGTTATATAAGGCCAAGGAACGCCAATGACGGACATTGCGATTCGAGTCGTTCATCCAACAGTGGATTGACAATGGACGGTACATTAACGAGTATAATTTAATTAACTTAGGATCCGTTAATCTCATTTATATAAGGCAGTGTTGACGGCAGCCCGGCGATGTGCGGTTGTGCGCGCGTCTACACGGGTGCTCAGCACGTACCTAGAGGTCCAAAACGCAACGCGGTCAGTGACAATCGGCACTCGAGTTGAGAGGCGTCCTGAAATGAGCAACGTTACACGAGCTTGGGAGAAGGAGACTGACTGATGGGAAGGAATTCCAAAGTTGAGCGTGTGTACATATGCAGAGGCATGCTCTATTAATTAATTAATTATCCGCTCGAAATAGTGGCTGGTGAGGTGACCTTTAGCTGCGTGCAGTGTACGGCCTTGTGTTAAATCGCTGTGAATTGCGAGAGCAATTTACTCCTAACGAAGATAAAGTGAGCTGGGCCACCCCGCTCTCACTCCCCTCCACCATCACCACCACCACCACGCAACTCCCTCCACCACCACCACCACGCACTCCCTCCCCTCCACCACCACCACCACCCCGCTCTCCCTCCCCTCCACCACCACCACCACGCACTCCCCTCCACCACCACCCAGCCCCCACCCCCCACCACCACCACGCACTCCCCCTCCACCACCACCACCATCACGAAGCTTCCCACCCCCATCACCACCACCACCACCCAGCCCCCACCCCCCTCCACCACCACCACACACTCCCCCTCCACCACCACCACCACCACCACGAAGCTCCCCATCACCACCACCACCACCCACCCCCCTCCACCACCACCACCACCACCACACTCCCCCTCCACCACCACGAAGCTCCCCACCCCATCACCACCACCACACTCCCCTTCCACCACTACCACCACCACCACCACGAAGCTCCCCCCTCCACCACCACCACCACCTCCACCACCACCATCACGCTCTCCCTCCACGTGCCACGCTGCCAAGCACGTACATCAATCACTACGGTTACTCACTGACAAAGATATACAGACGCAATATACACGTATGTTATGAAGAAGGGCCATTGCCCGAAACGTCGCCAATTATATATTTACATTTATTTTTAGGCCACAGTGTTCCTGAATGATGTGTATGAGGTTTTTTGTTATTTGTGCTTTGGCACTACTGCCAAGCCATCATCATCAAATATATTTAAGTATTTAGACACCAATGTACAGATAGACACGCAGACCACAACACTTGGGCAGACAATGCGCATGCTCCACGAATCTGTCCCTCCATCACACATACACAAACAAAGATCCACCATATAGCCTGGACAGGCTGTTGGGGCAAGTGCTGTTAGCGAACACCTATGAAGGCCGGCACAGCACACGAGGGAATGGGTGGCCAGCACCACGCACTGACACACGGCAAATCTAGACACAACTGACACCATCAAATCATTACACACACACTGACACACAGCGAGGGATACTTCAGACACACTAATAACTCAGTGACTCAGACAATCACAGCACACCACTAATGCACAGACTAGACACTTGACTAATCAGACAAAGACACACATTGACACACCCAACCAATATATGTTCTGTATCGTTTTATAGACTGGGGAATTGGTGTTAGCGAGCACTGCTAAGGTTGTCACGGCGCACGATGGGGTTACTGTGGTGAGCGCCGCGCCCGGCCGCCTTTGTCTCCCCCAATACTGACGTTAACACACCGCACCCGAACGTACACGCACGTACAAGGAACGAAGACACACACAGACTAAGATCCCCCGTATAGCCTGAACAGACTGTTGGGGCAAGTGCTGTTAGCGAGCACCTAAAGAGGCCGGCACGGCACACGAGGGGGTGGGTGGCCAACACCACGCCAGGCGGCCTTTGCCTCCTCAGTGGCGATGTTTACACACCGCGCCAGGTACTAATTTGAGGCTGAGTCGACCTATGACCGATTCAGATAATCGTCACTGTTGTTGGCTGTGAGCGGGAATCGAACTCGAGTCGTCGGGTTCTTCGCGCAGTGCGCTAACCGTTGCGCCACCGCTCCCCACTAATGCACGCACACACACACACACCGACACACACACACCGACACACACACAAATATATCCACTCTACTAATTCACGCACACGCGCACCATGAGCTCAGGGAGGGGAGTCGCCGGTAGGAAAGTGGGGGGGGGGGGGGGGTGATTGGTAGGGTCTGGTGGGGGGCAGGTGAGGGGGGGTCAACAACCACCACAACCACCACCACCACCAACCACCAGTCCTAGTTACATGAACGCATTAGCGGTGATGTCATTATTAGAGGAGAGATTGCTCTGTACGTGCCCGGCTTGCTGAGCGAGCTAGCGGCAGCGATGCCAGCCATAAGGAGACGCGCAGAACCCCTCCCTTCGGTAGCACCCCCCTCCCCCCCCCGCGTTTAACACAGAGTAGTCGTGGGGGGTGGGGGGTACCGTAGTTCAGATGGAGTGCTCCTGCCAATATCAAAGTGTGGAGCGCTGCGACACTGGCGTTTGTGGAGCGGAATTATCGTCGTAGTCATGGTTTACAGCACGTGCTCCCTCCAAGTCTGCTGAGGCTACACGGGTGATCTTTGCCTTTGTTTGTCGTGGTGGGTGGTTAACGGGCTGCGGGATACGTACCCGACGACCCGAGTTCGATTTCCGCTCACGACCAATAACGATGGCGAATAATCTGAAGCGGACCTGAGCACCCCCATCTACCAAACCCACCCCACCCCATGTCAACTCAGCCTGAAATGATTACCTGGTATACGGTGCGTGAACATCGGCAGCGCTGAGACGAGACGAAGGCGGTCGGGCATAAATTATGACCACACCACTCCCCGTTTGTGCCGTGCCAGGGCCTTCGCCCACTGGACATCTTATTCTTGGTTCTTTCGGTAAAGTCACCACGTAGAAGGGAAACAATAAAATAACATAAAAAATATAAACCAATGAAATTCTCACGACGTTTCGACTGCAACACAAGCAATCATCATCAGGTGTAAAAACCACAAAGAACCAAGAACGTGAATCCCTGCAGTCACGAAAGCTTTAAATCACTGGACATCTGTGGAGAAGGGGCTTCACAAACTCATCGGATTCCTCCCGCCGTATGAATACAGTTTTGTTTTCGTTTCAGTTGCATTTATTAGGTAAAGCCCTGGGAGCCATTCGGCTCTTGAATCGGGTGCGACCGCAACAAACACAAAGACATGAA